CTTAACCGCGATAAGTTGTAGCTGAGAGCAAGAGAGAATGATAACTGAAGAACTACACGATCCTCGTCAAGACTGCTTCAGAAATATGCTGATTGCACTAGTTCTCGAACAGAAATAAAATTAAAAAACAAATATTTCGTATCATCGGTGTTACCTTTACATTCGAATAAGAAAATTGTATTTAGAACATTATGAGTATGGTTCAAAACACGATAGAAAACAGATTGGGTGCAACGATCTTCAATGCAAATAAACCTAAATATGTATTAACTTCGATGACTATCAAACTAGTGTTGGAAATAATTCGCTAAAAATGTTTTAGATAATTATATAATTATCGCTTATCTTAAAGTATCGCTTGCCGACTTTTTTTGAATAATTTAAAATTAAGATCGAATGTAACGAATCAATATTTAAAATATAAAATTGTTGTTGACTACGAAATATAAAGAAGTTTAATCGAAAATCGGCTGCTTATTAATTACCTCATATAGGTCAATAAATACACTCTCGTATTTATGTTGAAATTTGTTATTCTATAATTTCAACAAATGTATGATCATAGATTGCAGGGTGATGTGAGAGGATGAGACAAAATAAACTCTCACAACCACTTTCATCGTTAGAATTAGATTATCTTACATTTAAAACATTTTAAAATAATGTCCAATATATCATTTGATGCAGAATTAAATAAGTTACACAATGATATGATAAGGTTCCTAAAAATTAATTCCTGTTGTAGACATTTCGGCAGAATATTGAAAAATACACAAATCATTGAATCTGAAAAAAAAACCCTGGATTTGGCCTTTTTCACTTCTACATGGGGAGGGGGAGGGTTAAGAAGAACATTTATATATACATCTTGGGTAGCAATTTTGTTGATCACAGAAAAAAGATACTTTTGATCACCAAAAATCGTTAGATACAAATGATCACCAAAAAAAGATATTTTTGATCACCAAATTTTTTAGAATGCATCTCATATTTTTATTTCTCAACAAAGTAAAATACAATGTGCAAAATAAACAATATTCATTGAAATATTAACAAAGTAAACAATATTCTTATTTTTATTAATATATATTTACAAATTTAAAGCTGTGCTAACTTTCTTGGGACGTCCTCTTGTTTTTCGTTTACCTAATGGTTGAATACGTGTTTTGTCGCTGACTTGATGCATGTTAAATATAATTGCTAAACCAGCAGTACAGTGGCGTAGCCAGGGGTAGGGCCATTGGGCAATTGCCCATAGCTCCAAAACTTATTGCCCATGGATTTATTGAGCTATGAAGTACTTGAACAGTTATTGCCCATAGATATTTTTGAAATCATAACGGTTGCCCTTAGCTGCCCGTAACTCAAAATAGTTCTGCTGATGAATTGCCCATGACTCAAAAATTCCTGGCTACGCCACTGCAGCAGTATGTTTACACGAATATTCTTTAATGCCAATAGGACAGCTACATGATTGTAATGGTACAACTAACTTTATGGATGCCCCCTAATGAAATATAGGTGCATGACGAACAAACCAGAGGTGATGAAAAATCACGCCTCTCTATAAAATTTGGTGATCAAAAATACTTTTTTGGTGATCAAAAGTATGTTTTTTTTTGGTGATTATTTGTATCTAAAAATGTTTGGTGATCAAAAGTATCTTTTTTTGGTGATCAAAAATACAATTACTCATACGTTTTTGTACAGCAAGTTAGAATCTATCGATTGATATATAATTCAATTTTAACAGTGAAAAAATTTCAAAAAAAAAACGATTATGATTTAAGTGATTTGTTAAATAAATCAAATGACGCATAAGCTAAATAATTATAATATCCATATATTGAATGATTTAGTAGTAAAATAATTGTGTTATGAGTAAATTAAAAGAATAATCAGTTTTTAATTAATTAGATTTCTTAATAAATTTAAAAATCAATAAAAAAATTGTTTAACAGTTGATTAAATCAAAAGATAAGAGTATAGAAATTGAAATGTGTTATAGAATGATTTATTTGTGTTTTTTCTTCTTTTTTTTATAACGACGTATATATATATATATTAATATCAAAGCTGAGGCATGTTCAATATTGAATTGGCTCAGACAAATCTCGGGTTCGAGATTGGACGCGTCTGATGCTGTATCGGATGAAGATATACGAGTTATAACTTGAATTAGTATACAGTAGGTATGCACTAGTCTAATCAGACTGGGTACCAAGAATATGAGGCGTGGATGTGAGTGGTAATCTTGTCTTGAGCCAGGCCTACATCGATCAGCTAGTTTTTCATTTGCTCTTTACATTAGCGATTCATATTGATACCTTCAGTTCAGTTAGACAAGTCTCCTTATATTCACTTAGTGAATAGACAAATTATCAAAAGCTATTTGTATTAGTATCAAATTACTCATTGATTCGTATATAGGTGAGAAATGCTAATTTACTCTATTTTTGATCTCGATCTATCGACCAATGATGTTGTTTTTAATCTCGAGGATGAGGGCAGGTAAGGGTTAAAAATAGATCATCATCTAACTCCTTACTCATCCACTTCTAAGACAAGACCATTTTTTTGTTTTTTCTTGTTCTGACGTGTTTTTATATTTATTATCATTTGTTATTGTGGTATCTTTTGATCGTTCTCCTTCAAAAATTTTCCTATAACATCACATGTAGGTCTTATTTTTTTTAAATCTCTTTCGTCTACACGTGTCGGTGTTTGCATCTGTGAAATTAAAAATAAGATGGACGAGAAAAAAAAGGCAGAATGATAAAACAAAACTCAAAAACTGTTGCAAAAGTAACAGGTGTGTAGTTGTTAACAGTCTGTTTTTTGTGAGGTGAAGAAGAATAAAAAATGATTGAGTGTGAAGAAAGCCCTTGTAAGAATTTTCAATCGGTTATCTGTCTTCATTGTATGCGTCGCTTATGTTTGCATCATCTCAAAGATCATCAAAATATTCTTTTAAGTGAAGTTAATGAACTTACTAATGAATTCAAACAAGTTAGTGCTAATTTAATTAATGCTTCGAAGACGACGATTGAAGAGCGTAAGGCTGATGAAAAGAAATGCGCGGACTGGCGTAACCAAAAAATGGCTCAAATTGAACGAGAATATAATAAAATGATCAGTTCTATAAAAAGTCGTCAAACGATACTTGAACACTTGGAACTCGAACTTAATCAACGTTTGAAAGAGAAAGTTCAAGAACCATTAGAACATATATGTATACAAGGAAGTATCAGTCCTCAGATACTCAATACTATTCGATTAACAATTGATACAGTCAAAAGAGATTGTGCTTGTCTTATATGGAATCCACAGAAGTAAGCTATATATTCAATTAACGGAAAGAATAGAAAGTATATCGTTTAGTTCGAACAATGTTAATAATTCCAATACTGATAATAATGGTATGCATTTTCTTTACATTATTTGACTTGATTCAATCAAATAGACGAAGCAATAAGTCATAAAGAGAAGTGTTGTTGTTTAATATTGATTTTGAGATAAAACAATCGACAGATGGCAATATTTTGCATTTTGAAAGAATCTGAACTAATATCCATTTCAAAATAGAAGAGCCTTGAGTATTTTTTGAATAACTTTTGATAGGAACGAGATAGAGAGCTACGGTTTTCACTATTCGAAAGAGCGATGTTCGGGCCATCGATCGGTATAGAACTCATTAAGACGAAAGGTGCTTTTATTATAGGCATCTTCTGATCAACACTTTTCCTTTGTATATTTTCATGAATTTTCAAAATAATCTCAACTCAAAGTTTTTCAAAATGTAGCTCGAATCACACTTTTTTCGCTATAAAATTATGATAGTTTTCATTGTCTCTCAATCTCTTATTGTATGAGGATATTAAAAAAAAAATATTAATTTTATAGCGAAAAAAGTATGATTCGAGCTACATTTTGACATTATTTGAATTGAGATTATTGTGAAAATTGATGAAAATACACAACGGAAAAAGTGTTGATCAGAAGAGGCCTAAAAAAAAAAAAGCACTTTTCGTCTTAATGAGTTCTATACCGATCGATGGCCCGGGCATTGCTCTTTCGAATGGTGAAAACCGCAGCTCTCTATCTCGTTCCTATCAAAAGTTATTCAAAAAATACTCAGGGATCTTCTATTTTGAAATGGATATTAGTACCAGTTTTCATGTATGATTTTAGTAGATAACAACACAGAGAGAATCCTATTCTAGTTGAAACAAAATCATAATGATCGGTATATTGGTTCATGATTGAATTAATAAACACATTAAAAAAAGACAAATATAAATGTGTTATAGCATTCATTTTGTATCATATCTATTGTCGATTTAGAAACAAGGACTGGTATTTGTGCAATGAATCAAAAATATGAAAATTGATTAAAATACAGTTTTCATGATCATATCACTGACTTACCATTTTCTTATTAAAATAATCAATAGTTTGAACTCTACTTCCTGACATAGCATTTTTTTAAATATTGGGATCCATAAAATTCTAAATATTCCAAGGTTCAGCAGCAGAAAGTAGTCATAATCTGTATATTGATTCTTGCTGGTAAAATTCAGGTAAAACCATAATCACCATCCCTAACTGATTCAGTAAATCATAACAAGATCAGACAATTTTTAATAATAAGTATCTTTAGATGAAACAGCAAGCAGCTCATCAACACTTCCAAAAGTCGAACGTCCAAAAAAAAAGAAAACACAAACATGGAAACCACGCAATCTCTTGTTCACGTTATTTCGAGACGTTGGTCGAGATAGTCCCAATAGAATTAACGAGTTTGTTCAGGTAAAAAACACATTCTTTAGTAAAAAGAAGTTTTCATCCATTGAAAATCAAAAAAATTGTTCAAATTAGAATTCTTATGTAGATAATGTTTACATATTCTTGACAGTTCTCTTACTAGAAGATGTGATGATCAAAACTCGCCTGTTGAAAAGTTTTGCTTAGGTAAATTGGATATTTAATAATTTCAGACAATGATGAAAGATGAGGATAGAATGGAAAATCATGGTCTTATTACATTAGTATTCTCATATCTTCAAACATGGCATCAAACAAAAAGCAATCGAGGCAAACATAAACAGTTAATTTTGAATAAACATATATTGACTGTGAAACAATATATCACTGGAAGAGATTGTGAAAGAAAAGTATTAATTGCCTTGGAATTTTTTTTTAATAAGCTCAAACAAAGAGGACCAACAGAAGGTAAGAACATATTTCTGTTTTTATTTTTTATATTACATCATTTTTAATAATGATAGTTGAAATGATGACAATGTTGTTACAATTATTTTTCGATCATTATTGTATTTCAATGCCTGAAATAATCGATTGGTATTCAAATGAGAAATTTATCGATCAACTCATTGGTCAAAAAGTTGATAAATGTTGGGCCGAACCTTTTATCAATCAACATGGCTATTCGATCAAATTTACGAGTATGTTATCATATATGTGAAATGTTTTTATATATTGTTAGAATGAGAGATTCAATTGTAAGAAATTCCACAAGTAAAAAGAAAAAATATTTTCAAGTACTTTACTCGAAGTCAAAACATTAGCAAATTAAGTTCTAATGTATATATCGAACTAAATAGAGCTATTGTATCTATTTAGCAGAACTATCTCATTTTTCCGAATGTTGATTTTCTAATGTTTTGACTGTAAGCGGAAGTCAATAAACGAAAATATCAGACGTCTATCGAGTAACAAAAATTCTCACGTCAGTAAAAACAGTCGCCTATGGTTCATAGAATAGTTTTCTAAAATTTTCTCTAAAATGAGAGATTGAAACTTTTCGTTAAGATCCAGCAGTAAATGAACTAATAAATTCAATTCCAAGTTCACCTAGAACCTCGTCAGTAAGTACAGAACAAAGTTCAACCCAATCTAATTGGAAAACGCCTCAATATGTTCGTATTCGTAAACCATTTAAAAACTTGGTAAAATTTTTTAAAAATCTATCTGATACAAGTGATGTAACAATTCATCAATATGTCGAAGTATGGTATTCATATAAAGGTTATATCAATATCTAAATAAATATTTAATTTAGATACAACATAGAAAAAACATTGACCATCGTGTAATAATGATTGTTCGATGTTATTTAAAAGCTTGGAATGAATGTGTTTCGAACGAGAAAAATAAATTTTTGTTGAGTCGAGTGTCAATTATTGAATATTACAAAAATGATCCTGATTTTGAAATGCAAATCTTATTTGCTATTGAAATATTTCTTTTACAAAATAAGAAAAATGATAATTGGTCAAGTAAGTTATTTCATAAATACGACCTTAACAATGTTAAGTATGTTAATTTTTAAGTAGAAACAATATCAACATTACTTCAGTTTTTTCTTGATCAAAATTGTATTAAAAAAGAAACAATTCTCAAATGGAATTCAGATGGCCATTTCTATAATGACGTTTACTACAAAGAAACAAAAGGTTTTGCCCAATCATTCATTCAGCAACTAATGTTACGAAATTAAATTCTTCCTAAATGTAACAAATTTTCAACAAATAAAACTATTTCGCCATATTCATTCTAAAAACCTTTTGGCAAAATATAACTTTTGCCGGTTGCGAGTGTGGATGTGGGAATGGGATGAGGTAAGACTGTAGTGGTGGGTATTAGCAGTCAATTAACAGTGACATCCAATCCATTCATGACTTCTTTTATCGATTCTCAATCAGCCTCATTATTCTAGGATATTCATTTCTTGTCTAAACATAACCAAGTCTTTTGATTCTGTTAAACTTGAAATATCCGTTTTAATTGTTTCATTTTGATCTCTATTTGCAACTATTTTCATCGATTGTATAAAACATATATGATCATCAAAAAAATGTGCTTCAATTGATTAAACTATTGATTAAAAAATTCTCCTATTTCGTTGAATTAAATATAGCTTCATTTTTCCGTAGTTATTTTTTTTTTCTTTCAAAAATAATAAACAGCAATAAAAATCAAAGCTAATGTCATTAATAGAGAGGAAATTATTTGTTTATTTCCAACGGCAACCCGTCGTCCATTAGCATCTGTTAAACCATTATTGTTGAATACAATTTTGATTTGTGAGATTATGTCATCAGTGTTGCATAAATTACGACTGCATTCAACATCAAATGTTGCATGACCTTTGCCGTCATAAACAAATACTTTGGGTGTAGTATTTTGCTGACAACCACGTGATCTGATACTATTTGATCGTTGATCATAAACTATAGAGCATATTTGCTTATATGAGTATACAACTATTTCATTTCTCATATCATAACATTGAATTGAGCCGTTTCTTGAAGGATTCTCGATTATAGGAGCTAGTTGTCTATAGATGGTGCGTGCATTATAGCCACGACTAACCATTTCATCGATTCTTTTTTGTGCATATGAAAGAACACAATCAGTTCCTTTCGAACATTGATATTTGATTGAATAAGAGAAGTAGGGTGTAGATGATATATAATAATGATCGGCCGACACCATAAGAATGTCAAAACTTACATAATACAAATTCTCGTGATAGTCAAATGTCATATCAATAGAGCAAGCCAATCCTGAATTTCGTTCTTGACATTGTCCGTCTGGAATTTTAAATGTTTGACCAAAGCGATGATTACCAAGCGAACAGTTAGTTATACATTTGAGATCATAGCTAATATCTAATTTTAGTAGTAGAATTAATAGTAATGAGAACATTTTTTGTGTTTGTCTAAAAGTAAAAAGAAAAAACCATCTGTTCTTATATATTCTATCAATAAAAACGTGGAAACGTTGTACGACCAATATTGTTTCACTAAGCAAACTAACGGCAGAAATGCAAAATCTAACTCTGCTGTGATATGAGTCGGATTACTGTGATAACGTGAATAAGAAATGTAAGTTGAAACACATTATTCATTCCTCTCTTTTTTAAATGAGTGACTAACTATTCAAACCATAATTAAAGGTATACTTATTAACAATAAACATGTAAAGAATCTAAGCATCTCTCTATATCAGTTTCTAAATTCAAACATTTTTATCAAAATAAAAAAAGGAGAACTTGTTGTGTTTCATAGGATAATCAAACGATGATTACTATTGAAACTAAAATCATATAGTTTTTAGAGGGATTTTGCCGTCAATTTTTTGTTGTTTTTTTTCCATGCTAGTATTATAAGTACGAAATTGACTGCTCAATGTCAGAACATTATTCGAGGTATTTATATTTCATTTGAAATCTAGTTTTCTAGCCTTGTTCGTAACCGAACTTTATTAATTCTACTTTTTCCATCATTTTGCATTGATATTGCATTCTCAACAATCAATCTTAATTAGAATATTAATAACTATGGATTAATACTTTCAGCCGTTATTGAGAAAATATTCGGTGCATTTTGTGTTTTTTTTCTTGCACGAAAGAAAAAAAAAAGGAATCACGATGAAAGACAACATACAACTAACAGTACTCAAAGAATGATTGTTTCTTTTATCTTTAAGCGACGTCAGAAGGTCAGGTATTAAGTTGCGCATTCAGGTCGATCAAGAACGCTTGTAAATCGTTGTATTTTAGCGTAATACATTGTTACCTTAAACGCCACAAAAAACTCTATACTATGCAATATGAAGTCTATCTTATATCAGTTCACTTCTTCATGTGTACTTTCTTTTCACTACAAGACAACATAAGATGTTCTTCGAAAGAATAAATTCAACAGGAATTTTAAACATGAATATGCATGTTGGGAAAGAGACGAACGAATATGAATACATTATTTTATCTCGAATTTTTTGATGTTACAAGAGATATAAAGATAATTATATAAATTTTTGATCTATCACACCATTTTTTCCACATATATATGTAATTGTCAAAATAAAAGTCAAAGTTTTAGTGATACATATGTTAGCAAATAAGATCATAAATAATATGTTGAGCACACTTATTCAATGGACGAGAATACTAGAAACTTCATATGATCTTAACTACTTATAAAATAAATTGATTTATAGGGTGAGCTGGTAAACTTCGAATTAAACTTTACACTTACTATTTTCTGCGAAAATATATGAGTTCTATAGAATATAATTAAGCTTTTTTTCACAAACTATATGATCGTTTAGAATTTCAGTTTAAGATTTTCTCTTAACCATAACAGCATTATTTTACATAGCAATGAGTTTCAATAGGCGATATCATCGCTCAAGATGCTTGGTTTCAGAAGAATGAATTCGTGTAAAAAAACTGACATTTTCTTGAAACATATCCTACCAAGGTGATTCTTTTTAAATATTAAAATATTCGACATGCCTTAAGTTCGGAGTAAATTTACGTCTGAAATCAACCACATGATTAGAAATGAATAGTAATCATTACTATAAACATTATTTTTATCAGTGTTCAATGATCCATAGAAAACAAATTGAAGTATATTTGAGTTGGAATCCATTTTTATATATAAGTCACACTAATATAGAAATTCGTAATAGCTTGCAAGATACATCGCAAGAATAAATTTCTATGTTGATTATGATTGAAAACGAGTTACGCTAGCATTTATATAATTTCTATCGCGATTGTATATTATAAAATGAAGTAAATTCTGATAGTTTTGTTTTCCTATGGATCGTGGCAAACTTATATCAATTGATGTAGAAGAAACAGTTTAATCATATCGATTAACTCTTTTCGCTTTCAAATTTTAGTTTATTTGTCTTGTTTTCTTATGAATATGGTATGGATGTACACTTCTCTAGATACGCACACTCACACCCATACACCCCACACCCACCCATCCACACCCACACCCACACCCACCCACACCCCACATCCACTCGCACCCCACACTGCACACCCACACCCCACACCCACTCACACCCCACACACACTCACACCCTCCCTTGCTTCGGCTCCTGCTCCAGATTCAATGTTTCCCGTTCGACTCCGGCTCCGTTTATAAAGGAATTCGGCTCCGGAGCCGGAGCTACCCATCTCTGAAAAAAATCATCATAACATGAACTACTCATAGTATCCAACTTTCATCCAATATTCTGCAGCTATTATCTTTCATGATTTTATGCTCTAAGATATTGCTTTGTAACAGAGACCGAAAACGAACCGAATCTAAACCGGATGACCTCGATTCAGTTCTTGAGGGTGAGGGTGTGGAGTCTGTTTGACTTTATATGTGGGGCTGAGTCAATGTGAGTGTCTGGCTTCCCACCATGCACATAAACACCAAGAACGATATCCACACACACTACGCAAATGCCCCTGCAAGCAACTGTTCTAGACCCACTTTATCGGTTCAGTTCGTTTCGGTCTCCGAGCAGTAGATATGATCCATTGAGTTAATGTAGCCTTCGGGCCCGTGAACTTAGCTATCGTGTCGCCACGACATCAGTTTATTCTTTAGCCTTAGAGATACAGATCATGGTGATAATAGTTGAAATTTTTGCACACGATGATTGAAGCTGTCGGCAACATAGAGATTGCCGTGACGATCGAAAGATAAACCATTGGGATAATGCAGCTGGTTTGCTTGATCCCCTTTACCGTTTCCACCCACCAGGACACTTCCCTCTGTCGCTTCTTTCAGCCAACGCATTATTCGGTGATTCTCTTCGTCGGCCACATAAACAGTACCCAATTGATCGACAACAACTCCTCGAGGTCCGTTTAATTGTACCAAAGCATTTCCTTTCCCTCGACCACCAGCAACGACAATGCCAACTTTTGCGCCCTCTACCCACTTCATCACACGATCATTATCAAAGTCCGACACGTACACAGAATGATCTTGATCGACAAAGATGTACATAGGCCAATTGAGTTGATCGAAACGACTGCCTTGCCCATTGCCACCTGCCACGACTGTCCAACGATTCTCTCCCACTTGCCATCGTCTGACAACATGCTTTTTATAGTCAGAGATATAGAGAAATCTCTGATCGTCCATCGTCAAGCGAGAACAGTCGATGTTCGAGATGATCATTTCTCCACTTGTGCCACCTTGACGAGGCCATCGCACCAATTGCCGGTTGTCGTAGTCGCAGATAATAAGACTCTCGTTGTCGACAATCACATCTGTTGGGTTATTCAATTGATTAGCTCGGCTTCCTTCTCCATGTCCTCCGGCCACTACTTGGCCACTCATCGCATCCGACTTCCATTTCATAATACGATGATTCAAGCAGTCAGCGATATATACCGTGGCATTCTCATCCACATACAGACCGTGTGGGTCAGAGAGTTGATGCAGTCCACTTCCATTTCTGTTTCCTCCCGCCACAGCGACGCCGTTCTGATTCCATTTAGCACTCGATGAAATATCAGTGGCACTGCCACGTGAAGGTAGTGGCGCTGCAACCAAAGAAGGGTATTGAGAAAGAGAAAGTAATCGGAGCAGTTTGGTGAATGAGATATGTGAAGAGTGGTGGTGCAGTGAATGAGTCGTCAAAACGTCACCACCTTTTGAACGAAGACAAAAGACACTGATGAAAAGA